TAGTTAGATACACCACAAAGAGCAGATATGCTGATTTTGCTACCAAGACAGTAATTGTTGCTGGCATTGAGAAGCTCTGGGAAGCCAGAAAGTAATCCTGATCCCCCGCAGCGTGTTGTTACAAGCGTGCTTGGTGGTTTGTTCTCCGCAGAAACCAACCTGAAGAAGCAAGGTCTACTGCCTCTAACTTTCGCTGATCCAGCGGACTACAATAAGATTCATCCTGTGGACAAGTTGAGCATCGTGGGGCTGGCAGACTTTGCGCCTGGAAAGGTGGGTGCCTTGTCACTGCACTCGGGGGGCCAGGGACGTGCCACTGAGGGGGAACAGCGTTGAGCTGTCTGCTGAAGCAGCACAGGCACCGATGGACAGCACGGCCTGCCAGCCAGATGAGACACCTTGCGCCAGCGGTCTGGGGGGGACAGAGGGAGCAAGTCCGAATCAGATTGCATTATTCTGAACGGTTATGAGAAACCCTTGTACGATATTCTGAATCCCTGGACTTGCTGCCTTAAGCACAAGTGTTCCCTAGAGGAACTGCGACCACGCTTCTAGGTTAAGACCCACCCTGAGCTACAATTTTCCATTTTCAACCCTTTAAAAACATGTAGGAATTTTCCTGTGAGAAGCTTCAGTTAACTTGCTCCCTTGAAAGAGAAAGGAAGGAAAAATAAAAACCGTCTTCTTCCTTTAGCCTCTGAAATGCATCATCAAGCATCCCAACGGGAGCCAAGAAACAATCATGCTGAACCACACCTTCAACGAGTCACAGATCGAGTGGTTTCAAGCTGGCAGTGCCCTGAACAGAATGAAGGAGCTGCAGCAGAAATCAAGCTAAGTGCGCACAATGCCCCCGGTGCACAGGACTCGATTCAGCTTTGGCATTTTCATAAAAGTGCAATTCCATGCCTACTGTTGGAATAAATGTCTGATCAAATGTAACCATAGCTTCCTTTTTGTTACGGTACTTCCTCTTCACTGACACTATGAAAAGGGAGTGCAGCTAGGCTTACTTTTGTCTTTTAAATTCCCCAGCTCCCTTTTTCTATTTTGGCTCCATTTCGGTTGTCCCACAGTTATTTATATTTGGAAATAACCGGCTAAGGTGGGTTTGTCTGCTCAGTTGGTTGTTTTCTGCCCATTCACTTGACTGATGGCTAAAGACTTAAAATGAAAATAAAGAATGTGACCAATAACACGTGTTATTGTTTTCATAATCCTGCTCTTCAGCTGCTGCTTCCCCCATCAGGGGACTGATGTCGAGGAGTATCTCATTAGAACAGTACACAAAGCCGTGCAGCTACCACCTCGCTACGCTCCTGTGAAATGGGAGCTGAGCACAACAGCCTGTGTGGAAGCCTCTCTGGCTGTTGAGGCTTTTAACTCGCCTCACCCAAATTTCCACCTCTACAAACAGCTGGAGGTTTTCTGCAAGCAGTTTCTTTCCACTGTGGCTAGACGATTGCATGTCCGAGCACTGCTGCTCTATAGATGGCATTCAGCGGGCCGATTGTCTGAGCAGATGGACCTCAGTTACTATATGAGCCTAAAGAATTCTAGGCTGCCTTTTAATTAGGGCAACGCACCAGGAATAACAGTTCAGAATTAAGGGGTTCTAACGACGCTGCAGGGAGGGCGCTGGTGACTCAGGCTTTGTTTTCACCGTTGGAGGTTAAGCAGACCCACTATCCCAGGGAATTATAGCCCCTTCCTGCCAAACGTGGCTGGCTTTGGCATTATGTGCAACATTGCTCTCTTGGCAATGGGCCCTGCATAGATTTCCCTCACTGTTTTGTTCCCGTCTTTTCCTTTCACTGCTGTCAGGGAGGGTGATGGCAATTGTTTGTTACTGGCTGTTAGAGCAGAGCAAAGTGTTGGTCTCAACACTGTCTGCCTTGAAATCCAAGTAGCTAAACTGCAGGAGGCAACTTTTTTCTTCCTGCTAGGCAGGAAGCTAAAAGTTTCCCCACAAATTGTACAGGAAGGCAGGCTGTGTGATTTTTATTATTTATTCCATTTCTGGTATTAACACACCCCCCACAAACAAGTATTGAGCTTGCTCAAAGCAGCCTTGGTCCATTTCAGTTCATAATTATGTTTTTTTCAGTCAAACTCCTGCAAAGTTAGGTCATTCTACGTAAATACAGCCCACTCAATACAGTATTTCCACTCAGCACAATAAGCAGCCTGTAGCTTTCCACAGTGGTCATCTTCACCGAGCCTAACTTACTCGTGGGTAAACTACTGTCATTCCAGTTCTTTTTGGCTGACTTTATCCATGGGTTAAGTTCCCATTCTTAGCAGAACATTACCACCACCTCCCCCGCTCTCCATTTTCCAGGTCTCCCGAGGACCACACCTCTACAACGCTCATCTTTTGCTGTTTCTTCTCCATTTCCTGCCAAAAGAAGGGCAGGTTTCTACCCCTCTGAGATCAAGCTCTCAGCCCAAGGAAGCAATACTTCTTGACATGCATTCTCTCCTGCTTTCACTCACTGAAGTCAACTCCTTAATTCAGGGAAGTAAAGACCTCCCCAGTTTTCCCTCCAGGGCAGGAGACCAAAGCTCCAGCTGAGTTTGTTGCTGCTGCGCTCAAGGCTTTTTGTGCCTGTAAATTCACTTCTACAGATCAGCGAAGACGTTTCTTGAAAGCGACTGTCTCTATCTGGCAGGTTGGAAGCTGAAGGGGAAACAGAGAATGGCAGGTCTCATTTCTCATTCAGCTTCAGAGGAGCAATGAGCACCAGCAGGGTCCCATTATCCCCCAAACATCCACCCGAAAGACTTTCTGGGGAGCAGGCTCCGATTGCAGCTAACTGTTTGTCCACCACGACAGGAGGCCCAGGCCTGGCTCACTGATTGATCCCTGTTCACAGAGAGAAAAAGAGAGCGTGCAATTGTAAACTGCATAGAAAATACAGGAGTAAATGCATCAAAATATAAAATCTCTCCCCCCACCCCCACGTCATTTTACCCTGCCCCTACCGGAGCCTCCCCAGACTCCTTTAAACCTTATCAACGCTACACCAAACGTTCCACATTTGAAAATGAAGCCCTTGCCCATTCCTGACTCTCCCAACACACTCCAGCTGTGAGAAAACACAGCTTCCGTTGGTTTAGATCCATTTTTCTCTTGCACTGTACTCGGGGCGGGTCTGACACCAGAACACGGCATGGGAAAGACTTGTTCAGCTGCTGTGTAAACCTTGATGTGGTTCTCCCAGCTCTGGGCTCCTCGTACACTCGCTTCTACCTGCGGATCCTGCATCCGCAGTCTGCGTTAAATCAGCGTCCCAGGGGGAAGCCCACCGACCACAAAGCGTTCCAGTGAAAACACTGAGCGACCACAAGAACAATCCCGTTTCTCCCCTTTCCCGCTTCTTTCGTTTTGTGACCGTTTGCTTCACAGTCAGCTAAAAGCGATCCATTCCTTGGGAAAGGGCTGCTCTTTTAGCCATTGAATAAACCACAGCATTCACAAGGCTGTATGAATTATGCACGTGGTTACCACAAGAGTGTAGGGTGCCTCTTTCTTCTGGACTTCCGTGGCATTTGAAGTGGAAGCCTCTGCAGAGCTCGGACCTGTTGGTGATGTATCAACAAACGTTTCATCCACGACTCGGAAGCGGATCTCCTCCCCGATGTCCATGTAAAGGTCATGGGCCCCTTCTTCCGTCTCATATTCCCACACCCACACCTGTTCGGCTTCATCGCTGGCCACGCCAAGGGTTAAGGATGGAACCAATCGGTATTCTGCCTGAGGGATCACTTTCTGACAGTTTTGGGAATAGATTCCATTCAAAGCCTTTTCACAATTATTTCTCAAACCGCAATGCACTGTCCTAGGTCATCATCTGCGCAGTCCAGCACCTGATTTTCCTGCTTCAAGGTGTTGGGGTTACCCCCACCCCCGCAAAAAACCCCAAACCAAACAAAACCCCTCAAACCCAAGATGACCTCACCTATCACAAGTCAGCGTATCAGACACACCACGTATCTAGACATGACACGATGTGGTAAAACCGGCATTCTGTCTTCAGCAGCAGCCAAGACCAGGGGCAGGGATTACGACGCGGTTGTTTGGGGGACATTGCCATTCATTTCTATCGGCGGGCGCAACGATCCTGCAAAACCTAATAAGCGTGAGGCCTGTCTAGCTGTGATAACAGTCTGTGGGCCTTGCCCGACACAACGGCTTAGCTTCTGCCACTGAGCACCTTCATTGTTGCAGTAGTGAATGCCTGTTGGGCCAGCACTGCACAATCTTTTGAAATGAAGTAGTAAAGTTATCAAAGGTGATCAAAGGATACAACTTAGCTGGCTGCTGCAGGGATTCTGGTGGGATGACAATATCATCAAAGAATCCAATAGAAACTGTGGAGAAAAGAAGTTGATTAAGACCGAAATGATTCTTTGCAAATGCTGTACCACAGCGATTCCTAAAATGCATTTCTAGACTCATTCTCCTTCCTCTTTCAGGAAGGACAGCTGAGATCATGCAGGAATTATTCTTTGAGCCACAACGCTCAATTTCAGTTGGCAGCGAAGCGACCACTCAGCTGAAAGCGCATACAGCAACAGAGGGCACAGTCTTCGTGCCCGCTGGGAAAGGAAAAGGCTGTTTGGAGCAGGATTGGAAATGAAAGCGTTCCAAGGAATGAGTCAGATGCTATAGAGGTCTGTGACAGAAAAGAGCTTAGAAATCACAGATGTAACATGTTAAATAAAGACCAATATAAAGTTAGCACAGCCCCCACCTCCCCCTCGAGGTTTCGTGATGTTGAATTTTATCAGCGAGTGGACATGCCCAAATTCAGCAACAAATGCACCCGAGATAATCTCATTGTCCTAACTTTACAAGGGAGCAGAGGAGCTCGCTTGCATGGAAGACTCCTATGAGAAAGGAAAGCAACTCATCAATTACGCATTCTATGAACCCGACAGCACTTTGTGCTCACAAAGATGTTTCCCTGCTGTGTTTTCAGGTACAGGAAAGGACCATGAATTTGCACAGAACTACAGGGAAGCTATACCAGACCAACACGAACTGATACTACCACTTTAAAAAAAACAAGTTCTGTTAACTGAAGCGAGAAAACGAATCCAGTCTACGCTCCAGATGGGCTTGCCTGTTCTTCTTGGGCCTCCACATGAATGACAAAAGGAAAGGGGAGTGCAGACAAAACCATCAAGGGCAGGGGAAGCTGCCGGGCGCAAACTGCCAACCACCCTCAGGTCAGAGCAGCATCGGAGGCCAGCAATCGTCTTTAACCAGCCTACGCACAGCACTGCACAACCTGAAATCACAGTATCTCAACAGACCCAAGAGCTCTGCAGCTCACGCGTCCCTAACATTAGAAGTTGTGGTTTTACCGTGAACGCCATCCTGGCTGCAGCTTTTAATCTGTCCAATGAGAATCTCATCCAGGAAGGGATGGAAGACCACGTAGCGGAAATGCACTTAAGAGAAAACAGATCATTAATGTTATGTCCATGTTAGCAAACTATGCTCCTTCCACAGGGTGGCAGCCATTAAAACAAAATCTCACATCCTCTATGCCCTCTAAAATGCTCTCCCAGTTTCTTTTACCATTTCCTTACAGGCACTGATTAGACAGAAAAATGGGAATAAGAGTTCTGATTCCTAACTGGTTTGTACAAATCCTGACAGCAGTTGATCAGCAGTGTCCTGTTCTCTGCTCTTCAATCTTGCAAGGGTTTAAGTTCACAGAATGTAACTGTAAGATGAAGAACATGGAGCAGGGCCTCTGCCTAAGTTACGACGTGAACATTCCCTCACAATGCTTCAAGGCCAAAAGTATCAGTTGAAATTATACTTTCTCGTAATACTTCTGCTCTTTTTATCTTTGTCAGCAATGCTGTATTTTCTTTAAATGAAATATTTGATATCAAATATTATCAGAGTAAATAGATTTTTCCAACATAAGTGGATTTTTCATCCAGGTTAAATAAAATGTTTCTAACTCAGCATTTTGCATTTATAATTATAAGAACGCTACACTAAGATCATCTTAGCCAAACAACGCTTACGAACAATTTAACACCATTTTAGCTGTCCATACTCAGTGCTCCTCTTTTACATAAAATCAGGCAGTACATTAAAGAAAGAGTTATTACCAGACACAGCAGGATTTATCAAAGTGCTACCCCAGATTCTGAAAGCAGACTTTTTTCCAAGCTCAGAGAGAATATATTCCCTTGTTTCAGTTCAAGGAGTAATTCAAAGTTGAGAAGCTGAAAGGAGATTAAAGCAAGCAGGAAAGCCTGCCATCCTCCTCCAGAATTAGAGAAGCTTTCATTTGCAGGGAGCAAGTTCTATTGGAGTTAAAATTTAGACAAGGGGAGCCACACACGGTCAGTCCAGTTCCCTTCTAACAGGAAACATTTCATTTGCTCAAGCTACGTTTCCACATTGAAAATTGAAACTAGAAAAATGCATCTCTTTCCCGTTTAAAGAAACTTATTTTAACTTAAAAAAAAATACATGAGATTTGCTTTTATGCATTTACTTCCAGTTCTTACTCAGATTTGCCAAAAGTCAAAGTAAAGAAATTAGTCATTTCTTGTTTTAAAAAAAAAAAGTCACTAGAAATGTATGCTGAACCAGATCTGTCTAAGTCTCAAACAAAAATGTAGCAAAACTTCCAGCTAGGAAAACAGCATCAAACGCTGTGCAAATGTTTTATGTAGAAACATGTTTCAACATTCTAGCTAGCGAAAATAAGCTTCAAAAAGAAAAAGATACTAGAGGAATGCAGAACAATTAATACAACTTATTTTCTACATGCAGACTTCCAATCATTTTAAATTAAATGAAGCCCTTCCTTACCCCACACCTATGGCTCTAATTGTAGAACAGAGACGGACTGCTGGAGAAGGCAAACAGGACTGGCTATTTAAAGCTCTATTTGTACTCAAAAAATGCAAAGAAAAGCAGAGACTTTTGCCATGTTCCTCTCGCCCTCCTAACAGAACACAGTTAAGGCTATGAACTTCAGTAAGTTCCTTTAAATTTACTTTCCCTAACAACTGAACTCAGTTTACATTTCCAGATCACTAACCTTCTGCAAAACTCTATAACTGAGGAGAAGCATATACCTTTGGTATGTGATGCACCATCTCCAGGGAATATGTACGAATCTTCCAGCTTTGTGATATCATACAGACAGATGCAGAGGCCAACATTGTATACAACCTTGCTCAAAGAAAACAGAATAAATAAAAAGCAATAAATCAAGGAACCCACCCGGTTAAATCAAGCAAACCATCAAATTTATACACTACGCACACCTTTTCAAAAGAAGGCAACAGAAGGGTGGCAAGATGGGAGGGAGGCTGTTTTGGTACACTCCCTTCAACAGCCCCAGCCCTGACCACACTGCGTTGTAGGGGAACCCTTAACGTACTCAAGTGTTCCGGGAGCATGTGTTTTCCCTGGCACTGGAAAGAGCACTGCTACAAACAGAAACCCTTGGGGTAGCTGTCAGCAGTGAGAGAACCTGACCTGTCAAGATAGTAAACAGTGGCCCACAGCTACCATTCACCAGCCCCACAGCTTGTCCAAAGGCTAACCACACTTTTCCCTAAAGTTACATTCTCAGAAGCATCTAGCTTTGCCTTTGTCTTAAATCATACTAGCTCTGGGTAGGGACGAGGAGAACTCTTGATTTCTCTGCTACTTCTGAGAAGGGTTCACAGCCTACAAAACTTGAGGCACCCAGCAGTCATCAGTGGACGAGGGAAGACTTTTGTTTTTCATAACCTGTCTGTATAATCTGCTATTTACAACTCTCGATCACTTCAGGTTGTTCTTTTGAGCTCCCTTCATGTTCACACGCTGCATTTTGAACCTTGCACCTGCCTCACACTCAAAGCCATATGCTCATCACAGCCCCAGGGGCTGCGCAGGGAAACCTGCATAGACCTCCTGGTCTACGACAGAACATTTTTACATCCTGCACCGAAGACGCAAATTCTTACTGCCATGCTGTATTTCAAGTACTAAGCACAGACCAAGTCCGCTATTCACACCTTCATTTCTCTTCCAGTATTATCATTTTACATTTATTTACATTGTCTTTTATAAAATTCCCCCACTGGATGGATTAGGTTGCACCCGTTTTTCAGGCTGCAGTTTGGATTGCTACTCTACACACAAACCAGCAGTTACTCTCACTTCTCTTCCGTGCTTCTCTGCCCCATCTGGCGTCTCAGTATCTTCCCATTACAGCATTAGCCACTGGAAAAAGTCCCCTTTGAGATGATACATGGTTATCTTTTTGTTTACAGTCTCCGATACTTCAGTCACTGGGGATGGCCTTCACATCTAAATTACGCTGATCCCTCACCCACACACCTCACTAGGAACAGACAAAAGGGAAAAATGCTCAGGGATGCCGACAGCTGCATCAACCTATGTGTGACCCACACTTTACCTTATTGGCCAATTTCTTGTTTAGCTCTTCAGCAATGGATTCATTCAGTTTTCTTTCAAACTGCCAGGGAGGAATTCTTACTGTGTCAGTCATCTCTACCAGGACAAACATGGTGGCGGGAAGAGCCTCTGAGGAGAGCAAGAAAACACCAACAGCCTCAGGAACCGGAGCACTGCAAGGACAACTAAGGCCCCCAGCAACTGATGAGGGGCAGGCCTAAGAAACCACCCCAAGGTTTTACAGGGAGCTTAGTGGGGCAGCACCCTGGCTATCCCAAAAGGGCGGGGTGGGGGTTTGAAGGCGGCCG